CATTTTGGTACATAGGCGGTCTGGAGACACCTGCACGTGCTAGTTAACTTACGTATTGACCATTTCTTTCAACAGACCTCACATCAGGTTCCTTTTTTTTTTTTTTTTAAAGAAATCTTGGAAATAGATGGACATTTTATTAACCTTACCTAACCAAAAAAGGTATTAAGTTGCAACATCTGATGAGTTACGTAATGAATGAATATGAACAAATAGGTTTTCCAACATGGTTTCATAATTATGCCAAAACATAGCGATATTAATTAAAGGACGGATGAGTTGCTCTTTTTATGCATACATAAAGTACGGGTCGAAAACCCTTCAGACTTAGGATTCAGTATTCCGCGAACCCTCTACTTTGAGAAATGCATGTATCTTGTTGTTATGCTCCATCGATCCTCCAGAAATCCGCAAGACATCACGTGAAATTAATGTTCCTCACTGAGCCCAAGATAACACGAGATTTGACGCAGAGCCTCCGAAAATCTACCCGGAAATTGATTGATGATGAAAAAACGTGTGCCCTGCCCCGCCGATACAGGCAATGAATTCGAAATGAGGTTTGGTTTAGATTTGTATTTCCCGGAAGTCCATTGCAGGATTTTTGCAATTTTTTTGTCGAGCTTGTTGAGGGACTTTTGTTTTTTTAAGGGGCTTTGGACTTACTCGCTATGCTGAATTCCTCCCCTGTTCCTCGTTCAGCATCTAATATATGCACGTTGCCTGGATATTTTAGCCCTCCCGCAGGACAGGATGAAACTGCTTCGGATACAGAATGTGCCATAATACTGACAACTCGAATCACGTCTCGAGACTGTCGGATGAATAGTTCGGATAGTCATCTTACGGGAACATCTTGACTTGGTCTATGGCCATTGAGCAACACCGTTCAAATTTCAATCACCTCCAAAAAAAAAAAGGCCGGACTTCAAGCACCCTCGAGAGGTGCAGTCCCTCCGATTCTGAGTTAAATTTTAGAGGCATCTGCGATTGGCTTTCGTGCTTTCCAACAGACCTTTGTCGTTCTCGTGCCCGTGCGGTATCAACATCTGTTGCAAATTAAGTGTTTATCCTAGATTTTATCTTTTGCGACGAATTTGACAGAATACGGAAGCAAGATAAAAGAGCCGAACTGACAAAAAGAAAGATCGCCGAGATATTATTTATTAGGGTCTTGCCCAAGACAGAAGAGAGAATGCAAGCGAGGCCGCGGCAGTCCTTGGCCCGTCATCTTATCATAAATCACTGCGTGTTGGCATCCTCTCCAAGTCCAGAAGATGGCTATAATATCCATAGCTCCGGGCCAAACTAAATCAACTCTAACTTGGATTTCGGGACGGATCACCATTCCTCCTTTTTTTTTTAACTCGGAAAGGGAGCACCGTGTGCGCATAGCGTGTCACGCGGACGGTGTACGGTCAGCCGTGAAACGCGGTGCGAGAGCCGGGCGCGGGATCAGACGATCACTCAAGTGGATGTGATGACGACAATCCTACATCTCGCGGGACACCGAGACGAACCGGAGGACCGCCAAATAAGGCAAAGAGCCACCGCCCAAGGGCCTGAGCACACGGGGATAAGAGCCAGCTTCTAACACCGTACACCCGAGCAAAAACACGGTACAGCATCCTCAACCAACTCCATCCCTTCTTCTTCGTCTCCACGACATTCATTTCCCTCAACTCACATAAAAAATAACAAACCGAGACAGCCTCAAATGTGCATCATTATCGTCCCATGTCTTGTTTGGATAAAATTATCCCCGGCTTTTGTCAGATCTCACCTGGGTCTCAATTAATTTCATCTCAACACTGCCTGAGATATAATTAAAAAACGTGGGCAGGAGCGTTGTTTGGGGTCCTCGGGTCGGTCTAGCCGAGGGAACCCCCAGGGCGCCCGTATATCCTCGCTGTTCCACTGGGAGACAATGCCCTGCGTAAAAGCAGGCCTCTCGATTCCGGATTGGTGGATCGATACCCAGGACCAATACGTAGAGATCCCCCTAGTGTCAGCCAGAAACCTCTGCGCAAATAGCGATTTAGAGGCAGCTAGAGATTGTTTGCGAGAAAAGGGTTATCACAACATATTTCAAGGGGGCCGAAGCAAAATTGCAGCTGATACAAAATATTTGCTCCAAACACAACCACTTAGAGACGTACTCAAATCATGGTTACCTTAATTATAATTTCTTTGACACTCCAAATTTAATGGAATTTAATTGCCACATTCTGCACGCTTTAGTGTGTAAATTTACCATGTGTGAATCAATCTTGAATCTTTTGTGAAGAAAGAAGTAAGTTCTATTCAGAAACCTGGTTTAATTTAAAATTTACCAACGCATATTTAGTTTTCAATGATGATCAATAATAATTGTTATCCAATTTAAGACCAGTGAGACTTACACTTAATCTAAACTTAATCTAAACTGATTAAATTTCTGAACCAATGAATATTACAAATATACCGAGTATTTTGAATGAATATTGCGGTCGTTCTAGTCAATTGGACCAATCACAACCTAGCTGTGTCTCCCATGGAGGCCGCCATCTTGAAATCAAAGAAAAAATGGACACCAATTGGTCGCCAATCGCATGTGTCATTTTCTTCACCGGAGACAAAACAACAGTTCTTCGTTTTCTACGGTGAATGTTTCGAACATCAATGAGATAAAAATAGATTGGTAACGATTTCCTTGTTTTGAAAACAGCAATAAAACACAATCTTGCCCTCTGGAAACCAGGCGAAAATGGCCGCCGGTGAATTCCTTGGCATCCGCTATGAAGAAAGGGGCCAAGCTTGGGCTATTTCAAAATAAACGACTGTTTGCTTGCTGGCAGTCTGTCCGTATATGAGCAAACGATTTCGCACACGGGACTTCGGGGCACAGGCGGAGGCGAATTACATCAAACTTCATTTATTAAACCACGGGCCGACATAATTCGACAAACCGGTTCGTGCCTTCCAATAAATCACCCATCGCTGGATCAAATGTCAACGATCCCGCCAAAAAAAAATGCTCACCACGCACAGTCGCATTGTGAATATCAACCACACAGCCTATGAAACAACGCACGTTCTGGGCTGCTCACCGCCTTGCTTGCTACACTTGTGCACGTGTCGAAACGGAAAACAGTCGTTTTGCCAATTATTTACCTGCATCGACTATTCTTGGAGTGTGTGTTGAGTCTGTGTTTAATTTGATATTAATAACACTAGCCGCTTCGAAAATAGGCTTTAAGCGATCAGAGATAAGTGCTGCGTGTTGGCAGTTACGCCACTGTGTTCAAGTTGACTCAACTTCAGCATGTGTCTGGGATGGATATTAATTATTCCGATTTGGATTGCCGACATGTGGCTTTATAATGTACCCGAATGTCATAAGTAATGTATCACGTTGATAAGTGTACGTTATTAATGGGTTTTTGAAAATGTGTCTTGCGGCACGGAATTAAATCTAACATTCATCAATCTATACCCAAGCAGGCAGAAAAATTTGCCTTCAAAAATAAGAGCCATTTATTACAAATCGGTCGATATTCAAGCGAGAGACATTGATCGTCAACATGAAATTTCGCAGCGATAGGCGATATGAACAAGTACGCACACTTGGAGAAATGGCTTTGATTAGCACAACAAATTGTAGGCTTCTTGGAAACGAAAATCGTGGATGAAAATGCCTCTACACATGCAGCGAACGTAAAGCGATTAACTCCTATAACGCCCTTTGCACCCATTTGCAAGCCTTGTCATAACCGTTCTCTTCTAATCATTCTAGGCATTTCATCTTTTTTTTCTTTTTCGACACAATTTCGAGCGGTGGATTACTGCTTTTTAGTGGGGAGGGCGTGGGGGGGGGCGGGGAGAGGAAAATTACCTGAACTGGGGTGACCTCAATGGCGCTGAACAATCGCCGTGCCTGCGTTGCTTTGCAATTAAAGGAAAAATTAAGATTAAAGGGTAGGCCCTTGCGACATGTTGAACGATTCATCCAATCATTCAAGCTGTGACATACATAACGTAGTTCGTGCGTTCAGAAGATACTTTGGTAAGTTATTAACATCGACTGATCCACTCAGGGACGGATCTAGCTTTCAGAAAACGGTGGGGGGGGGGGGGGGGGCTGCTTTGAAGTTGGGGTTGAGTGAAGGCTTGCCCCGGGGAGATTTTGAAATCTAAGATGCTTTCTTCTGTATTCTAAGGCAGTCTGAGAATAAATGTAGGAACATTAGCATTCTATTTATTATTTTTGGCCCATTTTATTAGTTTCACAACATAAGTCAGTGGCTGAAGGGGGGGGGGGTTGCGACCCCCATGCCCCCTCTAGATCCGCTACTGATACTGCAACATTAAACGCCACAATCTGCCTTCTAAAACCTTTGACATTTTCGGATTGTCTGCCTGATATTATTATTATAATCTGAAACATATTCTATGGACATTTTCGGAGTGACACAGAATTATGTATTTAATTTGCCGTGAACATGATATGCCGTGTTATTTTTTTTAGAGCGCTTGTATACAACACATCGGGTTTGCTAACACTACATGGAAGGACATTAATTTGTTGGTGAAGAAAACGAAACTCAGAGGGTAAAAACCAAAATTAACACCAACAAAATATTACCACGAACAGAAATATCGACATCTAATTAAACATACACACACCGAAACAACAAAATAACCCAGAGTGGCACAAGTACCAATGCCAAGTGAAAACACACATACCCAATCTAAATTATATTCAAGACCATGATCAATATAACTTCAAATAGCACGCAGTCACATACAAACCAATGCCAACACCAACAAAATTCTGTCCCTAACCCTTAATGCAGTATAGGTCAAAACCAGTACTACCACCTTTATCAATAAAAAAAATACACATAACACCACCACTATGACTACTATTACACCGAAATAACACTAACACAACACCGGTATACAATACTGATTAGTCTTCATTTACACCAACACAATTCATCACATACAAGACGTTATACCTTTGATACCAGGGCGTAGGTTCTTATCGTAATTGGTAGTCAGGTGGTCCAGGATACGTGTGATGTTCTCCCTGGCCTGTTCCTCTTGCTTGTTGGTGTTGTACTCGTACCCACCACCAGGACCGCTGCACGCACCCAAGATACTAGGCAGATCGAAAAAGGCAACATTTTGTGAAACTTCACTCTGCGGTTTCAAGAAATAAGAGCTATACCTGTAAGACTAATCAAATGGGGAAAATAAAGCTAACTGTACACCATACGGAGGAAAGTTCAAAAGTTTGCAATCAAACCTAAGGGAAAGTAAAAAAATAAACCAGTTTATCGTCCCATCTGCTTCCTTTTCCCGCCCGCCTCTTTTTTGTAAATCATAAGTTTTCAATATATTTTGACTTTTTCTTTGATTCCAGCAAAAAAAATAGGTATGTACACACGTTCAAAATCTGCTAGAAGGGTACGGTCCCTTTGGATATAAAAGTATCATCAAAGGAGTCGAGAAAATGAAAGAATTCATCCGCCATCTTAGAAAATCTGCCATCTGTGGGGGGGGGGGGGAGAAGGCCGCCTCCGTTGTTTTTTTTAAAAACCCGGACGAGAAACTATATATTTTTATTTGGCCTCAACAAAAACTTGTCTCAATTACGTTCACTTCAGGAATCTGCCTTAAAAGTCCAGATTCTAGCCAGGGTCACCATGAACAGATCAATTCAAATTCCAAACTGTTATTTTGATAAGATGACCAGTGGTACGGAAGTCCAGATGCGATATCGAACGGCCAAATCCATTCACGTAATTAATAGAAAACAAAGGCAAAGTACTGATGCGTACCTTAGATGACGTAATATCTTCATCATGAATATTCATGAAACAGCGTGTAATTTAAAGCCATGTTTTTCTTTTTTTTGAGAGAGAAAAACAAAATCACCCCTTAAGTCGGGCCAAATCTTTCATCCACGATTAAGTTAGATATGCACTGTACCGATTAAATACAAAAAAGGCTATAACCCATCTTCATTATTCTAACTAATGCTTTGTTATTAGTGTCAATTGAAGCAACCACTGATACTACCGAAGCAGAAAAACTGTATCTCGTCTATTTGACCAAATATTCCCACATGCTGTGCGCTATACGAATTGTAATTACTGTAGGTCGTTCTGGTAATAATTAATTGGACCTCCAACGGTGTCCCAGCTGCAATAAGCAGTGACGTCAATCAGACATCTAAGACAATAACCTCCATTTAAAGAAAAACTAAGCCCACACTCTATACCGGGAAAAAGGGACGTCTTGTTATTTTTAGCCGGACCATCTGAGCCGCACATGCACCGCTCAAATTTTTTTTTTTTTATTCGTTGGTTTTTCAGTTTGAGGTCCGTTGAGAATTTGACCTAGATTTGCTGACGAAAAAAAAAGATATGTCAATTTCTGGCCCGAAATCGCTTGATGAAAGTGCTTGATTGCGTGGCATACAGGCCCTTGGTAACAGACATTGCACGGCGTCGGCAGTGAATGTTTCGATTGATATTTAGCGGGAATATTGGCTAGCTCCCCAAAGCGCTTCACCTCTGGTTTCATAGAAATATCTGTATGTTTTACCAGGCTTCTATATCAACTCCGCCTTACCATTTCAGATATTGCAATTTTCTTGCGGTACAGAAAATTGCCATTGGCAGCGAAATTTCTGCTTAAATCGCAGGGCATGTTGGGAAAAGTTTACATCCACTTATAAACGTTATCAAGATGTAGTCATGTTGTACTTCGTGACAAAATGCAGGGACTGGGCATTGTGTGCTATATCTTGGGATTGGAATTTTCTGTTAAACATTGTTTTGGGGTGCTGCAATCTGAACCTTGTACCTTACAAGTCTGAAATGTGAGACAGTTTCTTTTAGTGTTGAACATGAATTCTGACATTTGATGAAGACAATAACATTAAATGCCGTGAATTATATTCACCGGAGCCAGAACCTTGACTCCCAGCTACAGTCATGAATTCCAGGCCACCGTTATAGATCACTCGACACAACCGTCTGTGATACTCCCCATTCGGCCCAAATTGGCGGTAAATTGGTGCCGCAGATTGCATTAGCCGGGCAAACACAAGCCCCGGACGAAACCCCGGTGTCGTGCTCTTCAACACACCTAGATTCGAGCGCATCAGGCGATAATTGGTCGATCAAACCACCACAGTGCAACGACATCGTCGTGGGAAGGAGGAGAGGTAAAAAAAACGGGGACAATCGCTTGCGAAACATGTGGTCGTGACATCATTTCACCGAGAGTTGACGCACCGCATTGAAACGAGTTTAACTTCGTGACATTATCTGATCAATTACTTTCCAAGTCGGCCAAAAAAAAAGAAGGTGCGCTGATTATCAAGATCTTAAAGGAAAAGCAAATTGATAATGAAGGGTTATTTATTGATCGGTTCTGACTCCGTAACCAGAGGAAATGCCTTGAAACATTTCAGGTCAGTCAGTAGTTTAAGTTTAATGAGGTCTGAAGTGAACGAATGCAGACAATTCACCTTCGTTGCTTGTTGCCATTTGAAACACAAAAGGAATTTGTTAAAGTCTAATTCATCACTAGAAAATGTGCCTGATATCTCGATAGGGTTACTTCGATATTTCGATACAAAATGGGACGAAATACTGCACTAAATATTCCCTGACAAGGAAAACAAGCAGAGAGAAGTGAACTTTCACAAATGTAAGAGATATAAGGTTCTTATGCACAAAGCAGATTTTAATACCACATGTATTTAGAAATTTGAAAATTATAATATGTTTTGCCTCAAAATTATTTCCAACGATTAATGTCTCCAAAGCCCATTGAGTATGACCATTTAAACGAGTTTCGTCTGGGACCAAAGACTAATTGCATAATACAGGATTAGCGGAAAGAAACTCATATGCCGTAACTAATTCTTGTCATTTTAATAAATTGTCCTCATATCTCAAGAGTTATTGGTCATAAGGCCAAGAATAAATGGGGCAGTCACGCTAGACAAAATCCTTTGAGTAAAAGTAGGACGCTACCGTTACCCGATGGGATTTGGACCACTAGAGGGTGATGAATGCAATCTAGAATCCATACTGAGAGATGTGCTGCGAGTTATCTGATCGAGGATTATAGAGCAGATTACTCACGTCTTCTGATCTTAAGCCACAAGGAATAGCAAGCCCTGCAAGTCAAACAAGTGAATTATGCTCCATTTTGACATAAGAAGGCCTGGTAAAATTTTAAAACTAAGAGAGTGTGTTCAATTTACAGCTAGGACCAAATCTGACAACCTTGACTGAACTAAACCATGCCAAACCGAAAACAAACCGAAGCGAAACAAAGCGTTGGAATCAAACCAAACCGAACCAAAACTGAGCAGAGCTGTTCGAATAAAACCTACCCGATTCGAACCGAACCAAATTGAATTGTTCATATCAGACTAAACCGAACCGAACAGCTGATCGAAGCAAACCGAACCAAAACGAGTAAAAAAATCAATTTCAACTGAACCAAACCTTACCAAACGGTTTGAATCAAGCCAAACCGATCTGAACCGAACCATACCGAAACGTACCGATCAAATTTAACCATACCAAACCGAACTGCTCGAACCACACGACAATTACAAAAACCAAGCCAAAGCAAAACCATCGAACCGAAATGAACCAAACCGACAGATCTCAGCCGAGCCGAACTAAGCCAAGCCTTAATAACGAAACGGAACTCGAACTGGTGAGCGCAAACCAACCAAACAAAATCACTCAAGCGGAACCAAACCCGTGCGGGTTATATGGACCTACCACTGAAACCAAAGTGATAAAACCAAACCAATATACCTAACCTAATCCTTATATAACCTATTTTTGTTTCTATTGTATATAGGTTTTGTTTTCCTGTATTATAAATACTGGCCCAATTAAGAATGTTTCATGTGAATTCCTGCCCGATTAAGAACTCATATACATGTAATCGCTCTCGCATGTAACCACTACCGTAATGTATGGACCCAACTGGGAATTCTGCCCGATCTGGATTTCCGGCTGACTGACGCCAGTGTCCATCGAATGTAGGGTCATGACACGGCACAATTACATTAAAGAGCCACTCGCGCTGGGTTTTCACACCCGAGTTATTGCGTCAAGATATAATTTGATAAAGAAATCAAGGTTTTCACAAAAATCAAGCCTGCGTGCGAGAATGGAGGTGGGTAATTATATTCTAGAAAATATAAAATCGTTATTCCAACTGGATGGATGGGCTATATTTGTATAATTTGTTAAATTGTGCAATCGATTCATTATACACGGGAACAGACAGCCTGCATGGTTTCACGTTTCTTAACGTTTAATTTTAAAGAAAATCAAGTGTATTTCGAATGAAGTTAATTTGCTGTTAAATTATTATAGTGGTTAACAATTTACATAAAATGATATGACAGATTTTGTGATAAATTGTCTCATCAGTATCCAGTGAGACATGAATGCGTATAATGGACAAAAGATGCTGTGAAAGTCAAAGCCCCAGAAACGGGAATTTTAAAATCAAAATTATAGCATAACAAATATCGGGGAAATAATTAACCTACATCTGGGAAGCATCAGATGTAGTCCATTATTAGGATATTACTTTGGGTACGATGAAGACGCCATTTTGGCTAATCCCTGGATATGAGTATGAGTGATGGACAACGGAAGGTCAATCTATGAGCGGCTTAAAACATCACACGACAGTATCCCATCGTCAGTATAATGTTACAACTAGATTCCTTGTGAGTGCCCAATGCACAGTGATCATATTTTTCGAGCAGCAAATCTATCACTGTCCGCTTACTTATCTTCACCATGCAATTATAGGTTTGGTCACATTAAAGTACTGTGAAAATGCAATGCAAAACAAAATACTAAATAATTAATGCAGCATATTCATACCAAAATGAAAAAAAAAACAGCCACACGAGAAACCAAAATTTAAATAAAATTTAGAAGCCAAATTTAATATTGCTACTTGACCCTGTGCCTTTTTTCATTTACTCTCAGACTGAAGATGAAAGATGGTGCTTTTTTCTTAAGTTGACTGATGACATTGTCAGCGTGACGGCAGACATGACACATGCCCAGGCACGAGCAACTCTCTTTTCTTCTC